CCAAATTTCAAATGAATTTAGCAGATAAGGTGTATTTTTTATTCAGTATTTCAGCTCTATAAACAGGCTCCTCTTATTCAGGCTTTATGTGTTTATTTAGCGGCGTGCTGGACAGAAGTGCTGCATGTTTAAGGTGCAGATAAAACTGAAGATAGCAGTGAAGGGGTGAATGGGGCCGGTGCACCAGTCGCTGGTTAACATACCTGCCCCCCAAGCCCCAGGGTAGTTCAGTATTAATCCTGTTACCTGGGTAAGTTTGATCTAAAAATAAGTGCGGTCAAACCAGACCTCATTTTTCCTGCAGCATCATCTGCTGAGTTTAGTCCAGCTTCCACATTATCCCCAATTTTTCCTCTGTCAGGTTCTTTCTGTCGTCACCTGAACTAAAGAGCCCTCGGAGTGATTTTAGTTAACAGGAGAGAAAACAAGTGAATTAAAAGTTATGTTTAGAAGTAAATCTAAAATGTTTTTACTCTAAAGTCAAAGTCTTACTGGAAACACATCACAATCTTCGGCGTAGATCACAGATCTCGTCTGCACATTTTGCCCCAAAGTCTTGATAAAAGGAAAGAAACCATCTAACTGTCTGAAAATGAGAAAGTGAAATCGGGCTTTCTGAAGTCGAGGCTGCGGGTCTTTAATGGATCCCGCTGCACTCGACTCAAACCTCGGCTGATAAATGCGCTCAATATACGAGAACAGAGGCTGATAAAAACACCGTGCTTTGGAAAAGCAGGTCTGGGATACCCTTTAAATGGTCACATTATTAAAATACACTCGTGAACCTCAGCTGTGATTACAGTTTTCACATTCTGCAGAGAGAAAAGAAAGATGGCTCCGCTGAACGAGACGCAAAAGTGAATCTAATTTCTGTTATTGCCACCTTTTAGAAATGACTGAAAATGGGAATCTGACAAACACAATGTCTTAATTTAGTGTCTGGAGTTAAAACACAATTTCAAAACAGAAAAGCCAGTATAGTAAAATATGCAAAAAAGGAAACACTGGTTAAAATATACAATTTAGTAATAGAAAGG